GTCCCAGCTACTTGGGAGGCAGAGGCAGGAGACTCACTTGAACCCAGGAGTTGGAGGTTGCTGTGAGCTGTGATGCCATGACACTCTATCCAGGGCAACAGCTTGAGGCTCTGTCTCAAAAAAAAAAAAAAAGGTCCAGGTTGAGAACACCAGACAAAGTCTCACTCTGTTGCTCTGGATAGAGTGCTATGACATCATCATAGCTCATAGCAGTCTCAAACTCTTGGACTTGAGCAATCCTCTTGCTTTAGCCTCCCAAGTAGGTGAAACTACAGGTGCCTACCACAACGCCCAGTTAATTTTTCTACTTTTAGTAGAGATAGGGTATCATTCTTGATCAGGCTGGTCTTGAACTCCTGAGCTCAAGCAATTCACCTGCCTCAGCCTCCCAGAGTGCTAGGATTATAGATGTGAGCCACTGTGCCTGGCCAGAACACATTTCTTTTTCACTTGTGGCTACACACAGACTCAATCTTCACCACCATAGCCTTTAATTCCCAGCTCAAGTGATCCTCCCATCTCAGCCTCCTGAGTAGCTGGGACTATAAGCACGTACCAGCTCAGCTTAGAATAGGTTTCTATGGATCAATGACACTTGGCAAAGGAAAGAGAAAATGATGCAGAATAGCAGTTGCCCTGTTTGCCTTCAACTCCCATTAATCTTTGGAAGCATACCAAGATTCTTTGGAACAAGTCTACACAGTTTGATAAGCTTCTGGTGAGCTCTAGAGAAAGTTTCCAGTGGGATTTTTCCAGAATTTCTACTGTACAAGTAATTTTAATTAGTGAAAAAAACATCACTTGCCTTCTTGGTTTCCACCATACTGGTATTTCACACCTCCAAAGATCCACTCTGCTTCCAACGACCTCGGTAGACAGGCACTTCGGAAAGTGTGTCCATCAATACCTGAAACAAACCAGGGAACAAAGTTAAGAGGTAAGTATGTGAGCAAGAAGGGGGAATGCAAATAAGAATCCACTAGGGCTAAAAGGAATCACCAAAGGTGCTGAGCCTTACAATCTTATGAAATTAGTTCCATGATTATATTCTGTGATAAGAATTCTTAACTCAGGCAAGATAGACTTTCTGGGGTTGGTGAATTCTACCAAAACTAGAAGCAAATTTTCATGCACTTGTGCATTTTTTTTGTGATGTGGCTTTTATCACATCTCAAAAAAGTTTGAAACCCACAACAATACAGCAAGTTTTCTCCTTTCTAAACACAGGAAAAAATATCTTCCTTGGGTGGCACCTGTGGCTCAGTGAGTGGGGCGCTGGCCCCATATACCGAGGGTGGTGGGTCCAAACCTGGCCCTGGCCAAACCACAACAAAAAAATAGCTGGGCACTGTGGCAGGCACCTGTAGTCCCAGCTACTCAGGAGGCTAAGGCAAGAGAATCGCCTAAGCCCAAGAGCTGGAGGTTGCTGTGAGCTGTGACGCCACAGCACTCTACCAAGGACGATAAAGTGAAACTCTGTCTCTTAAAAAAAACAACAGACTCGGCGCCTGTGGCTCAAGCGGCTAAGGCGCCAGCCACATACACCTAAGGTGGCGAGTTCTAATCCCCAGCCCAGCCCGCCAAACAACAATGATGGCTGCAACCAAAAAAAAAATGGCCGGGCGTTGTGGCGGGCACCTGTAGTCCCAGCTACTTGGGAGGCTGAGGCAGGAGACTCGCTTGAGCCCAGGAGTTGGAGGTTGCTGTGAGCTGTGATGCCATGGCACTTTACCCAGGGGGATAGCTTGAGGTTCTGTCTCAAAAAAAAAAAAAAAACTAAAAAAGAAAATACCTTCTTTGTTGGTTGCTGAGAGGCTTAAATACACTTAAAGATGTTTTGTGAATTCTGAAATACAATATAGTCATCATCCCCATAAAAGTTCCGAGCCAAGCACTGTACAAAGTATATTAAATGCAAAATCTTATTTAATGTGAGGAAAGGGCCACATAAAGGTTAACTAACTCGTCCCAACTCACAATGCTGGGACTGAAATCAGTTCTACTTGATCCTAACTATAAGAGATGAATGAAGCTGCTCAGTTATTCCACTCTGCAAGTAGATGGACACAGCTTCCTGCACCTCCCATATAAAGCTACGGGCTTGAACAAGCTCCTGCCAGATGCTCTTTGAACCCTGAATTTCTGCAGATGCTTCAGCCCCCTGGACACAGGCTGTTCCCTCTATATAGACATTATTCTAAAAATGGCTAGTGGCTTGGCACCTGTGGCTCAAGTGGCTAAGGCGCCAGCCACATACACCTAAGATGGCGGGTTTGAATCTAGCCCTGGCCCGCCAAAACAACAATGACGGCTGCAAACCACCCTCCCCCTGAAAAAATAGCCAGACGTTGTGGCAGGCACCTGTGGTCCTAGCTACTTGGGAGGCTGAGGCAGGAGACTTGCTTGAGCCCAAGACTTGGAGGTGCTGTGAGCTGTGATGCCACAGCATTCTACCCAGGGGGACAGCTTGTGGCTCTGTCTCAAAAAAAAAAGGCTAGTAATACATACGAAAACTTCTGAACTTATAAAATAAAAAATAATTTGCTATTATGAGGTCCATTACACAATATATGCTTCCCAATTCAACCTGAGCCTTTCCTCCATAGAATCGCTGCCAAGGAAAGGAAGAAGAAAGCTGAGTATTTGTGTCACTCTCACGATCCCTCACTCAGAAGATACCCATACAAACCTTGTGTTTCCAGGGCTCCCAGAGTTGCTAGTCTTGCAGCTTTCAATCCAAATCCCAAGTAACTGTAAAATATAGGATTGACCAATTTCATGCTGGTTGTGAACTTCTCTACTTTAAAGCTATCTTTTCAAAAGTAACATGGTTTCTGTTTGCTTCCTCTCTGTAACCTATTCAACTCATGTGGTCAACAAGAAGTAATTTCTGCATAGTTTGGATCAAGACTACACAGTTAAGAATTCCCCATAACTTTGATTCAAAAGCCAGAGACAGTGACAGTTCCTAGGGTCCCACACTAGCAAGCATCCCTAGAAAAGTCTCATTAGTTTAGCCCTAGCCCCAAATTGGATCACATTCCATGCTGGATTTTGAACATCTGAAGACCAGGAGTTGATATGGAGCTTTGGCTGAGCCTTCTCCAAGTGTCTTCACCCTAGAGAAAACTTTTGACTCTTAAGTTACCTAATTTTGAATGCAAGCAGGAAGAAGCCTCTTCGGTCCCTAAAGCTTTGGTAAGTAGCTTGGGTTTATTGGTAAAAACTTTGTAAGGCTGATCAGGTGTAATGACAGATTTGAGAATGCTCTGAAAAGTTGAGAGAACCATACAAAGTGAAATATTATTCTTCCCTGCCCCCCCTTCTCACCTATGTGTATAGAGCTTATAAGTGCTGTTAAACATCTCAAAAGAAGTGAGGTAGCCCCTAGGTGTTTGTTCCAAGGTTTTCTGCAAATCAGAAAAAGCAAAAGAATATTCAGAATCTACAAGTATTTGAAGATAATATCACCAGTATCTCTGTCCCTCCCCCTAAAAATCAGAGATGGAGACAGACTATGCTACTAATCTCATAAGGCTTTAAAAAGGCTTTAAAAATCTAAGGAACACTGGACAGTGAGAGGGGAAGTAAGGGAAGTCCACCCAGTCGTTAAATGACTCTATTCACTCTATCTGTGATGAAGCTGCCATCTGAAAATGAGGAGCCACTTCCTTAGCACCATGCCTGCCAAGTGCACTGCTAACCAGACCTTCATGTAAATGACTCACCTCAAACTGGGGCAGGAATGTGATTTGAGTGGAGGCCCCCCCCAGGTCCAGGGTCCCCACGGTCTCCTGGTTGTGGCCATGCAGCTGACCTGTCAATGAGAGTCAGCTCTAAATATCCTCCACATGCTGGACAGTACAACACTCGTCTGTCTGCAATGTCTCTCCTGCCCTTTTCATTCACTGAAGGTGTTCTAAAAATACTCCACTGCTCCCCAGACCTGAGGCTGCAGATGAGTATAACTTAGAAGGACTCTTGCTGCAGCTGAGGCCTTGAAGCCAGGCTATAAACATCAACTTCCTTTTTTTTTTTTTTCCAGAAAGAACAATATAGAAAGAAAGAAATAAAAGGATTTTATTCTTCTGATCATGCATGTGAAAGCCAGTTAAGGTCTTAAGATAAACTTACCTGTCAGAAAATTCACAGTAACCCAAGCTAATATGCCTTAAAAAGAGAGAAAGACAAGATTACATCTCAGAGCACTTTTTCCCTCTTTCCTGGCCCCATGTACGTTCCTCTCTCTTTTCTGATTCCAGAGCACACGTTTCCCTTTCCACCCGCTTCAATTTCCTGCTTTCCCATTCTTCCAGCTTATTGGTCTCTCCTTACTTAGTTCCTTCCTTTTTCTTCAGCACTCCATCCCTGTTCCCAATTCTATTAGTTAAAACTTTCACTGACCCTGCTTTTCTCCCTTAAGAATATATAACAACACCTCTCCCACCTTCATAGGATCCGTCCATGATGCTAACACTGTCCTTTGGCACCAGGAAAGGTGACTTCCTGAAGATCTCCTTTACCTAGACAGAAAGGGAAAATGTGGGTTCCCTAAGGCAGTAAAGTACACTTCCATTATTTTGACTGTGTCCTATAAAGCTTATAAAACTACTCTGTTGGTAAAATTTTAGCAAAACTCAATTCCTTTGCCCTAAGAAACTAGAGAAGAAACTAGACAAGCTATTAACAGTTTCCTGCAAAAACACAAGGATTCCTTTAACTTTAAAGTAAAGTTCAACCAAACCATCTAAATTTATAGGTGACTTGGACCTAAGAAAGGGCATGTAGCTGACCTTGTGAGCTCAAGCCAGGATCCCGTCATTTTCTAAAAAACACTGATTAATTTTAACTGGACACACACTGGGCACCGAGAGGATGAGCAGGTGAAACTGTTGATGGAGGAGCTCAAGTGTTGAGGTCCTCTACTCCAAGCTCTGCAGGTTCTATGCATGGTTGGGGCCTCTATAGAGTTTAGGGAGACCTCAAATCTAGACTTATGGATTCTATTTTAGGAGATGGGAATGAAGATATCACACGAACACTCAACTCTACATAATACAGGCCAATGACGTGGGTGTTGTGTCTCATTTGTATATGATTATCATGGGAAGGGAAGAATTTTCCAAAAAGGAATAACAACTCCAGTATGCCTGTTTTTCTTATTTCTGAAGGGATGAAATATATCCTATCCCCGAGAACCCTGGACTCTGTTTCCACGGGGAAAAGCCAGTTAAGTGATCTATGAACAAGCTTTTAAGGAGAAGATAGATAAGCAAACAGGAATAAGAAAAGAGAGTTTCCACTTTTGTCTTTTCCACTTTTCTGTCTTGCCCCACAGCTTGTTCTCAATGCAGCAGCCAGATTGGTGCTTTGAAAATGGATGTCCTATCATGTCTTTCCTTAGCGTCTGGTGGTTTCCCTCTTAGAGAAAAAGCCAAAGGCTTCACACTGGCCTTATAACAATTCCCACCACACCTCCTCTGACCTCTCCTACTTCCCTCTTTATTTTTTTTAAATTTCAGATTAATATGAGGGTATAAACAATTAGGTTATACTGTTTGCATATGTTAGGTAAGGGCACTGTTGTAGTTGTACCCCTCACCCAGGAGGTATGTCATGTACCCTTATATTGTGCCCACTAGGTGAGAGCACACCAATCCTACTTTCCTCTTAACATTCACTCCACTCTAGCCAGGCTCACTTCTTGGATGCTATTCCTAACACAATAAGCCTGTGGCATTTGCACCTGCTATTTCTTTAGCCTGGAATATTCTTCCCACAAATATCTTGTGTAACTTGCTTCTTCATTCCCCTCAGAGCTCTGATCTTACCAAACAGGTCTTCCTTGACTGCCCTGCTTAAAACAGCATTCCCCCCACACCATCACCAGGAGTCCCTACCTGCCTTACTCTGCTTTCTTTTTCTCCATAGCACCTACAGCACATAACATACTCTGTACTGGCTTGTTTAGTTGTTTATTCTGTCTTCCTGACAATAGAATATAAGCTTGAGGAGGGCAAAGACCATTTTGCCTTTTTTTTTTTTCCCTGATGAATGGGTTCCCAGAAACTTCACCAGCACTCAGTCGACATTAAGCATTCATTTGTTGAATAATAAATGAATTAATGAATGAGGAATGAGGTATTCAGGTTCTCACACAGACATAACAGACTGGTTGTCTTTGGGCAAGGGACTTATGCTTTCTGTCCTGACAGAGGAAAATGGATTTAGAGGATTGAATTACCACACCTGTAATACGGAATTCTGTCTTGCTGTGATTTTTTTTGTTATGAGATCCTGCCTATAAATATTCTTCTCGATATGAAATTTAAATCCTATTAATTTACCTGTTTATTGCATGATAAATAAGTGATACATAAAAAATAATGAATTTAACAAAACTTTCTATACTTAAATTTTTTATCTGAGTAAGAATAAAGTTGAAATAGATGATTTTGGCTTGGCGCCTGTAGCTCAAGCGGCTAAGGCGCCAGCCACATACACTTAAGGTGGCGAGTTCGAATCCAGCCAGGGCCTGCCAAACAACAATGACGGCTGCAACCAAAAAATAGCCGGGCGTTGTGGCGGGTGCCTGTGGTCTCAGCTACTTGGGAGGTGGAGGCAGAAGACTAACTTGAGCCCAGGAGTTAGAGGTTGTTGTGAGCTGTGATGCCAC